TGTGTTACCATGCCACCTGCTGGTGAAATTTACCTGAAATTTACCTCCCGGCATGGTGTTCCCTCAGGCAAATCGCCCACCGATTGAACTAAATCACCCTCAGTTCGTGGAATGGCCTTGAAGGACGACTCCAATGGAAGGGTTTCTCCCAAGCTGGGAGGATATTACTTGAATAATCTAGGGTGTTGATATATAGAGAAAGCTTACCTAGATATAGTATCAGTGGTCTGAAAAAAGTGCCCGCACGGAAAATTGTATCCATTACTTATGGCTAGGCTTACAGTCATAAAATGTACCTTTTTTGAACGAATGCATTGCAGTGTCTTACACGAAACTTTCTAGATAAGTCACGCTGAACGGTGCATAACTTTTACTCAGGTGAGTCAGGATTGCTGCCTTATGATGACTCGGTTTTCCAAACGCACCTCCTGATTAGTGCCTCCAATGAAATCAGGTTATTCCCATGGCTCAGCTGAGCCTTCCATTTTTAGATCATATGCCATCCTTAAATACCTATATGTTCCCGCTTTGGTTGCAGCCCAACTGACCTTGGTAATTTTGAAGAATTGTTGAACTCAGCCCGCCAGGCGCCAGCGCCCTGCACCCGAACTTCGCTGCAATCGGACATGACATAGTCATCACTAACTCTCTCATGACAGTCTTGTCATCATCTTTACCCACACCTTCCACGGCCTTCGCTGTTACTTAGTGACTCATACCGGGTCAACTGTGCAGACTCCTGCTGATTCAGCGTTATCAAGAGGTTAGTGGCGTAATTGGGTGATTGTCGTGATTCTGCAGATCATTAGTGATTTCTGTTTTAACAACCTAGCATTATGCAATGTATGTGGTGGTGTCGATATTAAGTTTTTCTCAGCTCTTATTGCGCGAATGAAATGTGTTCCATGGCCTGCTAGCTCGTAGTAATTGTCTTCTAGTTGCTTTGAACTTGTTGACTTCAGTTGTGAACTTTGTCATTCGAACTCCATGAACAGTTCCGAACTGGAGCCATCACCGTTTTATCTCACGGTCATCTCTCAACACACACTGCCAAAATCTGGTTGTTCAACTTCAGTCCACCTAGCTTCTCCCTCAGTTCACCTCGCTCCTCTCCACCCTACCTCAGACCCCGCCACGGGCGTCACGTCGGAACCGGTGACGTAACGACGTAACGGTTCGCCTGACTTTGACGTCACGGGTACTGCCAGTGCAGTTGGCAGCGTTTTATTGGGCCAGTGCATACTGCATACTGTATACCAGAGTGATAATGAGGCCTGTGGGTGCGTTCCGGTGCGAAGCGCAAAAACAATATGGATAAATGCCTGAATTAGAGCCTAACCACTGTTTTTTTTTCGGCTGAATTCCTTGCAAACAGCGCAATAGCACGATGGGAGTTGTGGTATGCTTATGGTTCCAGATTCTCCGACCCATTACTTATGGCTAAGATTGTACATTTCCCATATTATTCTCCGACCCATTTAATTATGAATATACTAACCAGTAAAACGCCCTTTGGGCGAAGAACGAGCGAGCGAGATAGTGAGCCCTGCACGTGCGGAAGGGCGAGAGGATGCTTCCAACGGGCTTGCGCAAAGCACCCTTCTAACCGGTCGCTAGCGGTGTGCCAAATTTAAACGCAATCGGCCCAGCCGTTCCTAAGATCTGGAAGCGGCATTCTGCACGTGCGCACGTGCAAACGGGGTCCAAAATGACTTTTGCACGGCACCCTACTAACTGGTCCCCAACCGTGTACCAAATTTGAGCGCAATCGGCCCAGCCGTTCTCGAGATCTGGAAACGCCCCCTACACGTGCGCACGTGCAGTAGCATCCTAACCGCAACACATGGGAATGCATTGCCTGGTGGGTGCCTACCTGTATGCCAAGTTTCAGCGAAATCGCCCCAGTAAAGACAAAAAAGACCGCAGGCCAATCGGTCCAGCGGTTGCTGAGATATAAGCCTCTCAAAAGCGTTACAGGCCGGGCCGGGCCGGGCCGCTCATACTGAGATTTTTCCGTTATATTGAAAAGACTCACTTCGCTCGCTGCGCTCGCTCGCTCGTAACAACTAGGGGAAGAGTAAGATGAATTACCTATCCTCGCTTGCCTTCTGCTTTCTTGATGTATGTAATTTGAACATCTTTACTTGCAATGTCTTATCGGAACGTTACATTCTTTTTTTATCACACATCTTCAACGGAACATGCAATCTGCATCAGCACATATAAGGATACGATCAAAACGCATCTACATTCTGCATGACTAGTATCACATCTCGGTTCAGTCCACCACTATCTTCACGGTTCGTAAGCGTTCAACAATTTAAGTCACGCGGCGATATACTTGCATCGTTTCGTCACGACGGTGCTGAGGCAGCCGACTGACGCAAAAGTCAACGATGCGTGAAACCAAAGTGGGGTTTCGCGTTTCTGGGTCGCTGCAAGCTGTGGTTTTGGGGGTAGGTGAGGGCCTTGAGTTGCTAGCTTTGATACTGTCGATGATTTGATGTAAGGTATCAGTCGTTTATCGTCTAACTATTCGGATATCGCCAAATTATTTAATACTCACGAGGTAACATAAATATTGCACGGACATTGGGTATTGCTGAATAAGGCAATTACAAGCAGCCGGTATCTTTGTTTCGGTGTGTAATATGACTTACCTAAACATCATTAACCCGCGCCCTGCTGGGGGGGGGGGTGTTTGAACACCCCCCCCCCTGTGGTTTTTCGCGAATATCTCAAAAACGGCGGCGCGGAGCGCCGCCGTTTTTGGTACACCTTATCACACATCAATTCTACACATGTTGTGAAAATTTCAGACCAAGGTCATTCAAGGTCAGGTCACCAGGTCACTTGAAGTGACCTCACCTCATAAAAAGTTTCAATGTCTGCCATAGCTACACCGAGTGACCGATCGCTTTGAAACTTTCAGCGATTACTAAGAGCAATAGCATGTACAAAATGTATATCTCAGAATTTTGATATCGATGACCTAAGGTCAGGTCAATTTTGCGACCTCCCCATTATAAGTCAATGGGAGAAAATTGAAATGCGCCTCTTTTGGACGAAAAGCATTATAAACACTCCCAAACACTGAATTACAAGTGGTTTAGACACACTGAACATGAAAATGGTGTCCGTGACCCCTGGTTATGCCCCTGAGGTCATCTTAGGTCACGAATGGTATCTAACAGTTTTTCGCAAATAACTTTTGCTAGAGGCATGCTAGAGCGATGAAAACGCCTTAGATGTGTTCAGCTCGACGATACGGATCGACTGATATGCAACATGACCCTTTCCGGTCAGGTCATGACCTTGACCTGAGGTCAAATTTTCAAGTTGACCTTTCAAGGTCAAGTTATAGTTCATTCGATGCGTCTTGACGAGAGGAACACGATGATGGTAAAAGTAAGCTCGTACAAGGTTTGGGTCAAAAGTTATTGCAGAAAAATTGTTTCCGAAAAAATCGGCTATTTTTGCAGTTTTTACCCCCTGCAGGCAAAACCGTTGACGCTAGGTCAAATCTGAGAGAATTACTCAGAAAGAGCGTTAATAGGGCTATCGAATGCGCTTTTCCGCAGCGCTGTAGCTCTATTGGTTCCCGAGTTATGCGATGGCTTCTTGGAAATTGTCGACATTCGACCTGGAAATCGGCGAAATTTTGCCTTCAATGACCTCTGGTGACCTGACCTTTGACCTGACCAAAAAATTGACCGAAGTGATTTCGTCATTATTTTTTACGCCCTTTCGAACGCCGCCTTCCGCGTATCGCTACGTGGCCCAGGAGCCGAGTTAGAAGGGGGGGGGGTGTTTGAACACCCCCCCCAGCAGGGCGTGGAAATCCAGGACCCCCAGCAGGGCGCGGGTTAATCAATAAACACTTGCACGCATCGAAGAACGGGAGTTCAATGTGGTTTCATGCTGAACTGTCTTGAAATTTCAACGTAGGCCGTCCATAACTAGATTGCGGAGTTATATGGCGGTCAAACGTGGCTAAACGCCGTGTGAACTGGGGATAAACTTTCCGACAGTGCCCGGACAAACTTTGTACGAGGTTCACACGGGCTCGTGAATTCGTGCAAGATCGTGTTACATCACGGAACGGTTTGTGGGAGCTTTGAGAACTAAGATGATATTACGTCGTGTAGCGCCCAATCTTATAGATAAGACCTCAATGCTTCTCGAAGTGTGCCATCAAGACATGTGGTAAACTATAAAAATGCTCGGACTATCTTGCAACGTAAACTGTGCGTTTTTTTACATTTAAGTGAAGCGTGCATGAATGAACACCGTGCACCGAATGGTGCTTTACCTGACGTACCGCCGAACGCTCTACGGTTCGATGAAGACCATCGTGTAGGACCTTCTCATATGGACGCTCGTGACTCCTCGCTCGATGACCGCTTCCCTGCGGGGAGGATGTCCACTCCCAGATAGTTATCGATCGTCTATGCCCTCCGGTCATTGCGTAACACTAATGCCCCGACATAGGAGAGAGGTGTTTCGCAGGGTCGCACCCAGGGGCCCGTGCTCATTGAGGACCTGACTCTCCGTGCCCCAGGCTACAAGTGGATTACATCAAGGGTCCGGTTTCGTCATCGCAGGACTGCTTTCAGTGCTGGGGTGTGTGATATAGCTCACTGGGAGGGATTATGCACGGCGGATATAGACTTCTCAACTTGTTTCACTCGAGCCGTGCAACGCGCCTCCGAAATGAAATGAATTATGTGTTTATAATGTGGGCAGCTGTTCGCACGCGTTTAAGTGGGTTAATGCTCAGGTTAACGTAGCGTAGCGTGCCATTATATATGCAAGTGAGGGATTAAATTCGTGGATATAAACCGTAAGCAATAAGCCATGTAATTCCAGGCTACATTAGCTGTTGTGAAGTCGTCTTAGTTTTTTTTTTTCCAGAGCGCAACAGGCATAACCAGATAAGCTATAACGTTTACATAGGATATGAAATATTACTTCTGACCGCCCGATTTCTTTTATTTCAGAGCGGCACCGGAAGCGTCCACTTCCGGTGATGGTGAGGTGCGCGTGCGACTGCAGCAGCAACCGGTTCGCTGGCCTTGGGAAGGAGTCGAGGGCTGCAGTCAGTATGGAATCAGGTGAGATGTGGGAAAAAATAAATTTGTTATTTTGGGTTGACTCTGGCCCTTTCCCATCGTGTACACACTAAACATTAGGTATCAATTCGGTGGCCATGCATGTGAAATACTGGAGCAAAAAGCTTATGTAAATGCATGAATGCGTGACCATTTTTCCTTTGCCTCTACTTCGCATGACTCTGACAAATAGGCATCCATACATTTAGGTGTCGACATCATGACTCTTCTCTCATGTCGTGCCCAAAACCATCACTACTTCAGAGAAAGGATGGAAAAACCTACAATTCCTTAAAGAACTCCGTAACTGTGGCAACGGTCGTTTAACAGTCCGCCAAGTGTCACCTTTCTCCATTTTCTGGTCTACGCACACGGGAATATAACCATGAGCATACGACAGGTGCTTATGTTGTAAGAAATATGGTCATGCTACATGTCAGTCCTGGCAAATTCATGTCATTGCGGTCTGCGACGAACGATTGTGGTATTTTCGCAACCTGTGAGCATATATTACTTTTGCAGTCTGTCACCATCATTTCTGTGATGATGTATAATTTTCGGTCAGCCGGGAAAGGTGTTCCTCCATTTGCGGTGTTGAGGTTGAGCAAATCGGTGCACAGTTGTATTTCTAGTGTAAAATCAAAGTGGCGCGTCTTGGTGCTACAGAAGTTTATTGAGTTCGGTATAAGTGATGTGCTGCATCTTTGGGTTGCATAAGTAAAAGAGAATCATGATGAATGTCTATGCTCCAGGTCGAGACGAGTTACGATTAACAGCAAGTGCTTTCATTCATTTATAATTCAAGTGTTTCGATGTTTTCCCCTGCGGTGATACATTGATGTATTTATTGCGTTCTTGCTTTCCCTAACTGCTACCCCTTGTGACTGTGTTTCCCGTATATGTGGTAGATTTGCCGAGTGCTGTTTCGTGACTGTTTTCCCTACGCGGTAGATTCGCTGAGTGTGGTACATTGCCTATTGTAGCTGAGCTTTACGCTACGTGGTAAATTTGCCGAGTGCTGTTTCGTGACTGTGTTTTCCCCTACGTGGTAGATTTGCCGAGCGTGGCACATTACCCAGTACCTGTGTTTCCCCTACGTGGTAGATTTGCCGAGCGCTATCGCTGCCGATTCTGACCGTGTTTTCCCTACGCGGTAGGTTTGCCGAGCGCGGCACACAGTGCCTATCGTGACTGTGTTTTCCCTACGTGGTAGATTTGCGGAGCGCGGCACGCTGCCCATCGTGGCCCTCAGCAGCTACCCGGGATCTGGCAACACCTGGACACGCTACATGCTCGAACTGGCATCGGGCGTGTTCACCGGCAGCATCTACTACGATATGGGCCTCTACAGCATCGGTGAGTCGCCGTGGGTCCAGTCGAGTGGGAGTTTCTTTGAAATGATGCCTAATCTGTTAGATATAACTAGTATATTTATTTTGTGATGTTGCTGCCCTCGTCTTTCTGCTGTGTGTGCTACGCTACTAGGGTGTGTAATGTGTTTCCCTTGCTGGAATATCCAGCCCAGATCATGGTCGTGTCCCTTGCTCTCCCTTTTTTTTCTAACACTACCGGTTGCTTCTTCTTTCCGGCTATTCATACTGAGACCCTGGGACAGGCTCAGGGTAGGCGGCGGGGGGGGGGGGGGGGATTGTACTGTATTTTTATATCTATCGTCTCTTCCGCTATCCTTTTATTTATTCTCCTATCTTTTGTATTGGCGCTCCTACATGTATTTTGCTCAGGCTTCTGGGGACTGGGGCAAACTATCCACCCGAACATTGCGCCAAATATACCATGCCCTCATGCTCCGATATGTTTGTTCAGGCTACTGGGGCGAGCTCTCCAGCCCGGAGGAGGGCACCACCATCGTACAAAAGGTGCACGACTTTGGTGACGACCAGGTACAGCGCTTCAACCGGACGGCCATCGTGATCGTGCGCAACCCGTACCGGGCCGTGCTGAGCTTCCACAACTACCTGTTCGGCGGCCACAAGGGCATGGCACCCTCCTCCAACTACCTCAGGAAAGGTGAGGGTCATGCAGCCATCTCAGGGAGGGGGAGGCTCGTACAATTCCAGGAGAGGCTATCTCAGAAAGGATGAGAAATGAGAATCATAGAACCACCTTGGAAGAGTGAGGTCATATGGGTCTTCTGTCATCCCGTAAAGGTGCTGACCACTTTCGGGGAAGGATGATTATCTATAATGAAGTTACCATTTATGTAAAAACGACTGAGGCTCATGCCTGTTGAACTCCGAATACTTGGTGAGACACAGTGCTTTTTGTCTTCTATTCATTGAGACCAGAGGACAGATTATTCGAGACCCATTTATTGTAATCATTCAAAGGAAAGTTGATGAACAATGAATATAGGGCTCGTTTGACGTTTCTACCAGTCCAGTAAAGCGGAATGTTTGTTTGTTTGTTTTGTTGGGTTAGGCCCTTTCGGTCCAATGAGACCATTTCAGAGCCGGGAGGATGAAAGGATATAGGGGGAGACATTGGTCTGGGCAGGCACCCTAGTGAGTCGCCGGGGCTGAGCCCGTCCAGAGGACAGGCCACCCAGCCCCAAGGCACTCACTGCACCCGGCTACGGGGTGCGCTCCCTCGGGAGCAGCGGTGCCGCTCCAAGGGAGCAGTCCGCATGAGATAAAGTTGCCTGTCCAGCCCGGAGGGGGGTTGCGGCGTGGAGGAGAGGGATTTCAGTATCCTGAGGATAGAAGCACAAACGGGGAAAGCGAAATGCCCGTACTGAGTCCGTCTATCCCACTAGCGTCACCTAGTCAGCGCGGGCGCTGGTAGTGACACCTAGCGTCGGTTTCCACAGGCTGGCGCACCTTCGTCATGAAGCAGGTGTTCGAGTGGAGTGCTCACGTGCAGAAGTGGACAGAGCCCGGAAATCGAGTGCTCGTTGTTCATTATGAGCATCTCAAGAGCGACCCGGTCGGACAGCTGAGGAGAATGCTGAAATTCCTCAACTGGCCCATTGATGAAGAAAGGCTCAAATGTGTACAAGTGAGTACTTATATGTGAACTAGAAAAGTAACAGCTGGTGGAATTGAGAAACCGTGGGACGGTTGCATTGGGTTGTGTAGACTTCACACCGTTCCGTGCTTCTATCCTCAGGATACTGAAATCCTTCTCCTCCACGCCGCAACCCCCCTCCGGGCTGGACAGGCAACTTTATCTCATGCGGGCTGCTCCCTTGGAGCGGCACCGCTGCTCCCTTGGAGCGCACCCCGTAGCCAGGTGCAGTGAGTACCTTGGGGCTGGGTGGCCTGTCCTTTGGACGGGCTCAGCCGCGGTGACTCACTAGGGTGCTTGCCCAGACCAATGTCTCCCCCTATATCCTATCATCCTCCCGGTTCTGAAATGGTCTCATTAGACCGAAAGGGCCTAACTCAACAAAACAGAAAAAACTGTGTAGACTTAGTTTGTGTGAATTATATCAGAACGAGAGACGCCATTTCATTTTTGGGGGCATTAATCATTATATCGTCCCAATTCATCCTGGGAAAAGGGAAGTTATTTTTATGTGAGGTGAAGGTAACCTATAGTATTCCATTGAAGTTTCAAACCGTTTTCAAGCACAACATCTTGTGCTTTCTATGCACTGGGCACAGAAGATCTTCGTTTTCCCCTCAACGCGGGTTTTTCACCGGCGTGAGCACAAACGCATGTGATCGCATGCGCTTCGTCACATCACATCACATCACATCACGTCACTGTTACGTCATGGCGCGTCAACGCACGTCGCCTATTTTATGTCACCGCACGTAACCGCTTGCATCAGTTCGCTACGTTGCGTCACTCATTCTCCCTGGCGTAGAATGGATTTTAGCGTGTTTTATTTTTTATAGCGATTTGTCCATTCTAGTTGTGTATCGACGCCAAACTTCGGTTTTGACTTTTGAGCATCTATGTGTCGTCTTGGTGCCGTTGGTGGAGTATTCACTGGATCAAGGCCGATGCAGTAAGTAGAATAGCTTCTTCTCTTTGTATCTGTTTGTATTTGTGTTTTATGTGGTGCCTGGGACCTTGCTTTTATTTGTGTTATTTCTTCTGCTTCTCATTGTGGGTATCTCTCTTCGCAACTCTTATCTTTTGGTAATTTGGTGTGTCTTACTGCCATCGAAAGCACACGCACCTCAGAAATGTTTCCGATCCGGGAGTCAACTGTTCGCCCCGGGCCGGCAAATGTTACCCATCCATTTCCTGGATGGATATATGAAGCACAATGAAGGACCTACTGGCTACTATATATATATATATCCAAATTCTAGCACCTTCTTTTGCTGCATAATGAGCTGTTCCATGAAAATGGGTTTTGCTATTTATGAAGCGATATCAATTGAAGATATACATTTCCTTGCTGATTTTCTTTTCCGCCTCAATCTCCTGCGTTTTTTGTTACATTTTCTTGTCATATGCACCATGAAATAGCTAGTTAAACACACAGTGGATAACTAGAGCTCCCAGTTGTATTATTCTGCTGACGAAATTTGCCAAGATACCCTCGTTCAGTAATCGAATCCAAATACCGTCATTAAATCTCTCCTGTCTCGATAGGACGGCGGTAGCAGTGTCGAAATCTGCCCCTCAGCTTGACCAAATGTCGCCCGTCTTTCGTAAACAGCTACTGCTTGTTGGGAAACTTGTGTGCTGGACTTCGAAGCCCAATTGATTGCTTTGCAATCACCCAATCAAGTAGGATTGACGCGTTAAGTGTATTAACCGAGCTCATTTCCGTTCTTGATTGAATTGGATTTGACGGTTGTAATGAGTGTTTTCATGGTGATTTATACGACTTTTTGCTTACGCTGTGTTTACGTCTTCCTCATAAGATGATGTAATTTTGCTTGACGGCCCAGCCATTTGATTGGAAATGAAAATTAGTCCATATTTACCCAATTTCCATGCTTTTAATGCTAATTTTTTTAGTTGTTATGGATTGCTAATTGCTATATGCTTTTCTTAAGTTTATTTTGCCTTTTCGTCAAAAAATGCAATTATGTTGGGTATTTATTATAGGAATTTAAGAATTAAATGTAAACTTTCATTGAATACTGGCCTTGATTGCCGCCTAAAATATCAATTACCATACCGCACTGAATGAAATAATATCAACGGCAATGGTCACCCCTCCCCCTCCGGCTCTAACACCTCTTCCTTCCGCTCCCCGACAGATGGACCAGTCAGGACGAGCACAACGTCATCAGCAGCATCGTCCTCGTGCCGTCACCCCCTTCCCGTCTGAGCTGCGGAAAATGATCGACCTCAGCGTGAAAACGATACAGAACGTGTTGGAGAGGAGGCATCTCACCCCGCTACCGGTCGGAGAATACGAGTTCTTCAACGGTAGCTCACGGAGGGCGGAGCAGTTGGAGGATTGTCTAGAAGATGAGAAGTTAGAGGATTGTGTATATAGAATCGACAAAATGAATTTCAGATATCATATAAAGTCGTGGTTCGAGACTATTCGTGACCACGTGCGCGCGTCTCCTTTGGGAGGAGTTCTAAGCAGTGCGGTTGGGGGTGCTCTAGGTAGCGCCGTGGGGCCCATGCTAAATGTCGCGCGGGGCGGAGAGAGTTCAGAGCGCGACACAGCGAGAGCGCTGAGTGAAGAGGAGGAGAGAATGGTGGAGAGAGTGGTAGAGACGGTGCAGAAGAGTGTGAACGTGTCGGAAACGAAGGGGGATGGGCTACTGGAGAGGTTCCAGGGTCTGATGGTGGTGAAGGATGGCAACGAGTTAGGACATTCAGAACGGACGGTGAGAGCGAATGAACAGGAGAGAGGAGCTGGAGATGGAAAGGGAGAATCTATACGGAAAGAGAATGCAAAAGTGACTTCAACAACGAGTGATAACAGGGAGGAAGAAATTGGCAATGTAGCGGAAGATGTGGAAGAAGATGATGGTACAACGTATGGAACTAAAAACGGTTATATCAAAGAAGAGAAAACTGCTGGCCGTGATACGGGTGTAGAGGGAAATAATGAAGGGCATAAGCAAGACATCAAAGTCGGAAAGGAAGGCGATTCAAATAATGTGTATGCTCGTGCTCCGAATGATGGTATGGTGCCCACTGCCCTCAGCTGAGAACCAAGAGAAATAATGTAATTTTTGGGCGGCAAGGATAAGGCATATCAGTTGCGTATTTGCGGCTGTAAAAAAGACGGCATCTTATTTGCATGCTAGCCATATGAAAAATTGATTCATATGAAGGATGTATCGGGTAATATAGCGGTTTTTAACTGTTGAGCATAGTCTTTTTATATTTGTTATCGGGCTTGTCAGGTAACATATTATCTGCTCAGTGAATTCCTGTTATACTGATGCTAATTTTGAGTGAATCTGCTTCGTCATAAAATGACAATGCTAATCAGCATTCTAAGAATTGCATTAATTTACAATGCGTTATAGTGGCTTTCAGTTATTACACTGAGCTAGGTAGATAATCGTTTGTAGAAAGGTGATACGTTACTTATTTGGGCTATCCATGACTCACTGATCAGGAACTATCCATTTTCTCCATATTTACGGTGATATGTAGGTAGATCTGTGATGGGACAAGGTACGAGCAGTGAAAGTTATAACATTTGGTTGTCATGGTGACGGTTAGCTTGTCCGAGATTGTGTGGATTAGCATCACTATGTCGATTCAGAAAATGGCGCACTCACTAATGTAAAACATGAGCTGCTTTTGTCGTAGTTAATCTTATGTGACCTTTTTCAATGTATGTCTAATAATCCCTTATCTGACCTGTTTTTTGTTTTCAGGGTTTCATTTCTAGGCTCAGGAAGGACGCATTATGCTTGTGTCGATGACTTTGCGGCGCGCTGGTAACGCTGACTTTGCGGCGCGCTGGTAACGAACGTTGTCTGCCTGTCATGTAAATATTGTATCACATTTTCGATGGATCTGATGCGTCCAATTGCTGTAGTTGGAGCCTCCAGAGATTGTGATATATAGTTTAGAAAGGAACTGGTAAATATGTGTTCAGTATTCCATTGGGAATGTGTTGAATGCCATGGTTTTCGGTAAAATAAAGTCCTCAAGGAAATAGTTGTTTGAAATACTCGTAGAATGGAACTGCAATGCTCTGTTTTCTTTCTTTCGGTACTTACAACATCGCAGTCACCACTGCAAGAAGGTAAGCTAAGTACTGAAACTGTGCTCTCCAAGTTTCGCATTCTGACGCCAAAATGTGTATCTTTCTGTTGTTTGTCAGATTGTTGTGTAAAGCACCTCGTTCGCTAACCAACAGCTCTCCAGTCCCACTTATCAACCACTGTATGCTAACTCTAAACTAAACTAACAGTCCGCTCAATTCCCCCCTGTTCCCCAACCACTGTATATTTCTCAACCATTGCCGCCTGTTCCCCAACCACTGTCTGTTCCCCAACCACTGTCCGTTCCCCAACCACTGTACGTTCCCCAAGCACTGCCTGCCCCTAACCACCATACAACCAATCGCCATCACAGCAGCTGTTCAATACTGACCCCCTCTGACCGCCCACAGGAGGATGCGGACGGCGTAGCTCACCGCCACCCTCCCCACTTCCCCGCCGATGTGGAGCCGTTCCCCGCCGATGTCAGGGAGATAGTCGAACACGGCGTGGGCTATGTGAATCAGCTGCTACGGAGGCGTGGTCATCCGCCGCTGCCGCTGGATAGGTGAGGAGGGGGGAGGGGGGGACTGAGAGAGGAGGCAGGTAAGTGAATAGGTCAGGTCATTGTTTTAGAGGGGGCATTATAATGCAGTACCGGCAATATACTCCGTTTTTTTTTTCGCCTTACCGTTGTATGTGACATGAGGCAAGGGATAGGCAGAATGGTTATCTCTTAATTAGCTAGAAAAGTAGTGATTGAAAGTGGACAATGCATGCGTAACAGACTGAAAAGGACAAGGACATGTGTTGTTTGTCTAATACATTTCTTTTTGCGTGTAAAGATAATGTCGTTAGCTTGGTCGGGGCGCACGCGACCTAGTCCGCTGGCACCAAATTACATGATAGTTGTATTGTCAAAGGAACATGATCACGAGTCTGCAGACATGTAATAAATATAAAGTAGGGGAGAGTGGGGCAAAGCGGCCACCCGGGGCAAAGCGGCCACCCATCGTTTTAGCCCTTCATAGCTGGCGTCAGTTCCAATTTATGGTTTCCAATTATACTTCTCTTCACGGTCGTTCGAATGAGCCAGACCGGGGTTTCAGGCCCATCACCACTGTTCTGTGAAACACGGAAAAGCATTTCTTGCCAGGTTACCAACTATGTTTACAATTTTTAAATGTTATGTTATTCCATAACCGTTTGGAATTTTTATAAGCGTTCTTGTTCATGCATTGCATGGTTATCGTACATGCATTCTACCAATTTTAACGTTTTTTACCCCACTAATAGCTAAGCTGGAATATTTTTGTCTCGGACGGTATGCGCGGGGCAAAGTGGCAGGGGCAAAGTGGCCACCCCCCAATCGGCCATAAGCTGCTTCCATCTGGATAAAAAACATTATTTATATTCAAATGTGTCGTCATGCATTCATCTTGGCCACTTTTCAGTTGCATGAGTTACCAAATAATGCAATTAAATGTTTTTTTTCATGAAAATCCTTTCTTTGTTTACCTACAGATTGAAGATGATAAAGTAAACATCCATCTTCGCTTAACCTTGTCACCATCAAATACCCTAGTCGTACACGAGGCAACTATTTTGTTTCTCATGTCGGGACTTGAGAAGACGCCGGTGGCCGCTTTACCCCAGGGTATGGGGCAAAGTGGCCAATATGCATAGGTTTAAAGTTTTGTCAATATCTTTCATATGTGAACGCCTTTGGAAATAAAACGCAGTTGAAATAAAAGGCAACTTATAGGGATCACATTGGTATAGAAAGAATCTTTCCAAGTTTAAAAATCAAGCGTTGGCATCGTGAGAAGCGTTAGGGTGGCCGCTTTGCCCCACTCTCCCCTATCGCTTTCTTGATGTGCAGGCGTCCTTTACATAACTAGTCCCATCGGATTTCGTTTTTATCTCTCCCTACGCAAAGGCATCCTCTTTTCACCATCCCCTTTCAGGAGCGTCTCACTTCTCACCCCTCCTCCATTACTTCTCACAGTCTCTCAGTTCTCACATCGCGCTGGCATGATCATTGATCATCCTTCTCACCTCTCTCTCTCTCTCTCTCTCTCTCTCTCTCTCTCTCTCTCTCTCTCTCTCTCTCTCTCTCTCTCTCTCGAGATACAGTCATGTTCCCACCTCTCAATTCTCACCCTCTCACTCCATTCCTCCACAGATACAGCCGCTCCTCCGGTGAGCGTCTGGAGGAATGTTACGCCGAGGAGGACTTCCCCTCGTGCCTGGCTCGAGTAGACGCCATGAACCCTCCCGCGCCTGCCCCGAGTCTCCTGGCACACGCTACGGACCTCTTCAGCCGCCTGCTGGGGGATCCACTCAGAGTGAACCTCCGCAGTGGACTGGGCACGGCCAGCGCTCCGCCGGCTCTGGAGGACGTGCCCGGAGCGGCCGCTCTGAGGGCGGATTGGAATGTGTTTGAGATGAGCAGGCAGGAGTTGTGAGAGGTGGGAGGGGGGAGGAGAAGGGGGGGGGGGGTGCTTTGGTACTGCATCGGATATCGAAGCATCCCCAAGGTACCTTACCTTGGAAGCTTCGCCAGTGGAAGGTAGAGACTTTGCATGGCAAAGGCTCCATGAGCTGCCTGTTCTGTGAAGTAGATGTGTTGTATGCTAGAAGCTGTGTATGCTAGAAGTTCTGTGCGCTTGAGGCTTTGTATGCTAGTAGCTTTGTATGCTAGAAGCTGTGAATGCTAGAAGCTTTGTATGGTAGCAGTGCTGTAAGTTCTGTTTGCTAGAAGCTTTGTTTCCTAGAGACGTTGCATGCTAGAAGCTTCGTATGCTAAAAAGCTTCGTGTGCTAGAGACTCTGGATGCCAGAGGCTCGGAATGCCAAGAAGCTGTGTATGAAAATGTGTGCTTTTGTAGTTTTGCGGTGCAGCTCGTGACTTTTGTAATTCGAGAGGTCTAGAATTATGGCCACCTCGAGCTCCTGTGTCATGGAGCGGTGTAATTGTTGGGATGTGAACTTCCGGGATTATGAAGTTCTGGAACCGTCAGAAATCTTAAGCCCTCAGAAATCTGAGCCCCTCACTTAGAGGATGAAACTGAGACTAGACGGATGTTAAAATGCAAGCGAACAGGGGTCAGTGCACGACGAATGTCAGAAGAATGATAAATCAAAAGGAGGCGAAGGTACGCATGCTAAGGACTAGGATGTATATGATATTACCGATGTACCTTTTAAGACAGAAGGATGATGCAACTGAGCTGATGTAAGACAGAGAAAATTGGAAATGGTAGAGAGCAGTTTTCCAATTCCATTTTACCTGATGACTAAATGAAGCCGAGGGAGGTGACGTCATACCTCGGTGCTCTCTCAGTAAGGATATGTGACATGATGAGACGTCACATCTTTGAGGTGCTGTGTGACGTCACATCTAGAGGTGTATTTCGTGACATCTATATGAAGGTATATGACGTCATATCAAGAGTTGTATGATATTAGACCATATTTCGGTCATTCTAGACGAGACGATGATCTTCAGAGAAGATCCGAACGTCAAGTAAGCTCATGAAGGTTGATGGTGCAAAGAAGCTTCATGAAGTATGAAGCTTGCCTAACAGCAAATGTGCAGCAAATGTATCGTTCTATGAATGATACAATATCTTCAATTTTATATAGAAAAGTGGGTTGATGATAAATACATGACTAACACCGTATTTGTGACAAATAAGGTAAAATTGGGTAGTAGTTTGAAACAGGTTTAGGCTCTAAGTCAGAGCTTTGCCAGTGTGCACGGTATAATTAAGTGTTAAGCGTTCTTTTTTTTTTTTTTTTGAACGGTCGTCCGGACGCGCGAAAGTTGGTGCTCGGCTATGAACGCATGCTGACTGACGAGACCGTGTAGGTACAGGGTCATGTGAGTGATTAAAAACGCCAGGTCGTATGAAATATACAAATGCACTGAATTGATAAGTGGATGGTCAGAAATGCGAACAAATTACAAAACGTTTACGTTTTGTGTGCCAATGCATCGTAATATCGGATTACTGCTATTTTCGCCTATGGGCTAAAGGAATCGATCCGTAGTACCAGCCATCAAGGCTTATTTCCTTATAGGATCAGTTGTTGCGAGACTGAATTGTGCGGTTTATAAGTTCATTGTCTTTCGTGACGTTTTGGCACCATTTTTCTTCTAAAATATCTCCACCACATCGCAATTATTTGTGCTTCACGCTGACGCCCACACAAACCATCAGACATTTCCACTCGTGAATATGAGTCATATTTCACCTCCGCTCTCGTCCCGGGGGTGTCCTTACGTAGACCGTTCCCATCAGCAGCGTTATCGTGAAATATGCCGGCCGAGCCGAGAATTCAGAAACAGCTTCGCCGGCGGTCGTGATAGCTGAATGAATGAGCTCATTCTCTGCCGGTTTGGATGGTGGGAGTGAGCTATACGGCCTTGGGTAGGTCGAACCGAGACTGTCCAGTGAGAATGGATGCTGTATTCGGGCAGGGGATGAGGTTGGTGGTGTTATTTTGGACGTGGAAAACTTAGGACTGGAATGGAGATAATGATATTACAGATTACAGACTTACAAGCGTCATTACTTTTCGAAATGAGTGCGATTTTTTGGTCATTAAATGCTTTTGAATGTTATATTACGGATAAGTTATCCGTATGTAGAACTTGTCATTTCGGTGAGTGGGTGCGATAGGTTACATGATTATTTTGTCATGTTATTTTGTGACCTTTGAGATGTGTTATGTACATTGAAACATGCTTGGCATCCATGCATGTGTTTGAATACAACGATAAAAAACAGACAAAAGGATGTTTTGATGAATATATTGCTATACAGAACCAGTCGACCATTTTAGCCAGTAGCCATTTCTAATGCTCCTTCCAACAACTATGGATGAGAAACTACATATACTTCTCATACCCATACCGCCCATTCGAGCCATCCATCTCGTGTGTTCTATCGACTGTATTCACTCAATTATCCCGTGCTATTGGCTGATCTCCAATTCGCGTAGGCGAATACTGTGACATAAGGCAAAGGAGACCTTTGGCAGGAGACGGGGTTATAGCTTTATTACATCAGTCATCATCTATAGTTATGTTAGATCACTGCCATTTAGGATCATACCCCTAACCAGTGGCGTAGACAGGGGGGGGGGGGGCATGGGGGCCATGGCCCCCCCTTTCCGCCCAGCCGCCCAAATGGCGCCCCAATTAGCGCCGACTAGGCTGATGCCGTTTTACAGAGAGAACATGAATTAAAAAGTGATGTGCAGGCAGGGATCGAACTCAATATCTCTTTGGGGTGCCTGGACACCTAAATAATCTCCAGGGCACCCCCAAATACGACCTGAGCCCCCAAATGTTCAAGGGCGCCCCTCCGGAAACCAGAATATTCCGAACCCCCAGGGTGGATGGCGCCCCTGAAGAGCCGCTGGCACCCACCTAAACGGAACAGTCGCCCCATTAAAGCTTGATGGCGCCCCTTCAGAGCGTCCAGCGCGCTTCTGAAGATCACGCCCATCTAAACGAAGGTTACAGCTGCCCCATCTTAAGATCGATGACAGCCCTCTGAAACCAATGGCGACCTTCTAGACTACCCGGCACCCCTCTGAAAATCACATTCACCCCATCCGAGACAACGCCCCTGGAGACTACAGTCGGCCCACCCAAGCTCAGGCCCCTCCAGAGCCTCCCTGCGGCGCCCTGCTGAAGGCAACAGTGGCCCCATCCATGCCCAATGGCGCCCCTCAACGCCGTTCTAAAGATCACAGTCGCCCCATCAATCCGAGGTCGCTGGCGCCCCTCAAGAGCCACTGGCTCCCACCTGAACCGGGGCTTCACTCGGCCCATCCTTGATCAATGGCGCCCCTCTGAAACCACTGATGCTCCTCTGAAAATCCCAGTCGGACCATCCGAGATCAATGGCGCCCCTCCAGAGCGTTCGACGCCCTACTGAAGGCAGCAGTGACCCCATCCAAGCATTGCACCCCTCTAGAGCACCCGGTGCCCTTCTGAAGATCACATTCGCCCTATCCGAGGTCGTTCAGACGCCCTCCAGTACCTAGTCACTGACGCGAAACTGAATGGATACTTCGGTCGCCCCGCCCCATTCAAGATTGATAGCGCCCCCCCCCCGAAACCACTGACGCTAGGCAATTATTTGACGATGGGGCTTTCTCATCGACACTAAGGGCCCTTTTCAAGATGCAGCAGCTAGGCGGCGCCGAGCTGGGCTTGGATGTGCCAAGCGTTCCTTATTAGGCAGCCTTGTAAGTGCCACCCTCGTTGCGATACCGCCCCTCAACGCGACGCTGCCCCTTCACCGTACAATGCCACCCCTCAATGCAAGTGGCGCCCCTCAGCGCTCTGCCGCCCATTATTGCGATGCCGACAGCGCCTAGCAGTGCGGTGCCGCCCCCAGCGTAAGCGTTTTTTTATTGAGCCTGCTGGGGGTGTTTGAACACCCACTTCTAACTCAGCTTGTGGGCCACGTCGAGACACGCAGTAGGCGGCGTTCGAAAGAGCGTCAAAAACTATTACAAAACTATTAAGATCATTTTAAGGTTAGGTCGAACCGGTCGAAGGTCAGGTCACCAGCGACAACCGAAAATCAAATTCCGCCGATGTTGACATTTTTCGACAAAGCGGCGCAGCGCATAAGTCAGGATTCAGAAATAGATTGAGCTACAGCGCCGCAGCAAAGCGCATATTCGATAGCTCTTTTTATGCTCTCTCTCTTATTATCTCAGATTTGACCTAAGGTAAACGTTTTAGCCTCAAAATATACGTTTTCGCGGAGGACGTTTATCTGTAATACCTTTTGGCTCAGACCTGCACGAGATTAGTTCAACCAGCATCGTGTTCCATTTTTCGAGACAGACGAGTCAAATGAACTAGAATTTGACATTAACAGGGCCTTTGAGAATTTGACCTAAGGAAAAGGTCATAACCTAACCGGTAAAGGTCATATTGCATATTAGTCGATCCATATTTTCGAGAAGGAAAATAATTATATAGGGTGTTTCATTGCTCTACCATACCTCTATCAAAAGTTATTGTCCAAAATCTACTGGAGACCTTTCATGACCTGAGATGACCTCAGTAACATAAAAATGGTCACATCACGAGTGACATTTACAGATTAAATGTGTCATATTAACCTGCATCCCGATGGTTGAGGTTGTTTTCGTTCAGAAGAAGAGCATTTTAATTGTCTCCCATTAATCCGCGACGTGCTGGAAGGGGGGGGGGGGGTTACGCCCTCCTTAGGTTTTTTCTCGCGAATATCTCGAAAACGGCGTCGCGCAGCGCCTGCGCTGTCTTTGGTACTACACCTGTTCATACATCTTTTCTACACAGCTTGTTAAATTTCAGATAAGGGTCGTTCAAGGTCAGGTCACTAGGGCACGTCAAGTGACCTTGCCTCAAAAAAAAAGTTAAAAGACCCGCTATAGCTACACCGACTGAACGATCAC